CAATTTAAAAAGAAAGAAAGAGGGAGGGAAAGAAATAAATGGACCTGCCTGTGGGTTTTTTTTTTTTTTTTTTTTTTTTTTTTTTTAACAGTAAGAAAAAAAAAAAGACTTGTTTTATAATGCCAGTGATGCTAGACTGATTTTAATAGCTCTCTGTGGTTGATGTGATCAACATCACGCCAGCCGCCTTTACCTCCTTACATACTGAAAAGTGGACCTGATGGGACAATGACTTTAGAGTATATATATATATTCTTGGAAAGAAACAAAAGATTTTTAAATGTATTCATTTTAATCATCTTGCAATTCCAAAGCTCAAACATAAACGTGGTAGTATAAATTTATAATATATATTTTATATATTTGTTTCTCAAACTCCAATGTATGTAGCACATCAAAGAATGAGGATGACATGAGAGACAAAGCATTATTGCAGTTTGTAGACAGTGACAAATGATATAAATGCATCATATGTTATAAACTTATCTGGCTCCACTTACTCAATCTCTAGAAATATACATCTGCATATTTATCATTAAAATGAAGTGTTGGTATGTCATTAAATGAACTATACTACTAGCCACAGATTGTGTTCATGGAAGGTCACACGCTGTGTGTCCACACAAACATGCTATCACCGTCACAAATACTTGTAACATACAATAAACACAGAACATTTGAATGGAAATATGACTCAGTGAATTTGTTTTGACGACTGACAAAAAAAAAAAAAAAAAAAAAAAAAAAAAGTTCCTATGACAGTACTGTCCAGACAAACCCAGTTTTATCCATGCCTATCTTACAAACTCTATGACAGTACTGTTCTTGCAAAGCCTGAAAACTGTCTTACTAAGAATAATCTGACAAATGCATATGACAGACCATGCAAGCCTAAAAAATCCAGTCTTAATTGCCAAAGAAACTCTGACAAACCCAACACATAAAAGTACTTACTGTCTAAACACATTTGCTAACGCAGTCTGTGAAAGTACTGTCCAAAACAACAAGTTTCAAACCCAACCTATGACAGTACTATCCAAAACAACAAGTTTCACAAACCCAGCCTATGACAGTACTGTCCAAACAAATCTCACAACATCAACCAACAAAGATAAGCCTATAATAAAACTAGAAAAATACATAGCAGCAGTGACGCGACTGGGACCCACATTCCAAGGGTGATGATGATTAGGACCCACATTCCAGGGGTGACGATGACTGGGACGCACATTCCAGGGGTGACGATGACTGGGACGCACATTCCAGGGGTGACGATGACTGGGACCCACATTCCAGGGGTGACGACGATTGGGACGCACATTCCAGGGGTGACGACGATTGGGACCCACATTCCAGGGGTGACGACGATTGGGACCCACATTCCAGGGGTGACGACGATTGGGACCCACATTCCAGGGGTGACGATGACTGGGACCCACATTCCAGGGGGTGACGATGACTGGGACCCACATTCCAGGGGGTGATGATGATTGGGACCCACATTCCAGGGGGTGACGATGATTGGGACCCACATTCCAGGGGTGACGACGATTGGGACCCACATTCCAGGGGGTGACGACGATTGGGACCCACATTCCAGGGGTGATGACGATTGGGACCCACATTCCAGGGGTGACGACGATTGGGACCCACATTCCAGGGGTGACGACGATTGGGACCCACATTCCAGGGGTGATGACAACTGGGACCCACATTCCAGGGGCGACACCAGGGGCAGTACAACCACAAGAACTCCAGGCTGTGAACACATCTCTAACTGCTGGATCAGAAAATGGATTCCATTTTCTGTACATGAAAAAGCAAAGCCATGCTAGAGCTTGCAGTCATGTGGTGACCTTCTGAGTCTAATCTCTGTATCCACCGTTCTCCATTTTTTCTTTTTAAAACTCCCTCCTCTTCCAACAGATTTTGGGGCCGATATATTTTGTGGCTAAAACACCCAACTTAACAATGGAATCACACTACCAAGCACATGTAAAACATGAAATGCCCCCTCCCTCCCACAGGACAGATCAATGTATCCTCTCCAGCCAACCTGGGCTTTCACCCAGAATCCGAACCCACAATCAAACATAGTCAACAGTTTGCACTCAAACACTATACAAACAGATCTTAGACACAGCAAAATACTCTCATAAGATGACAAAATTAACTACAATTGTTAAAAAGCACTGCTCCAACAGAAGATTATAAAATGATATTTGCATGTAACAAATTGACATTAAAAAAAAAACCCACCAGACACAGTGGAGGAGGAGGTCTGTACAACTGAAGAGTGGGATGAATGAGGTATCTAGCGTGTGAACAATTGACAAGCCAGGTTATCAGACACTTATACATCTACATTCAGACAGATGGAAACATGCCTGACAACAGGTGACATTCAAACATTACTGCATCAAGTAAATACAACTTCAAACAACCATACAGGTGACATTCAAACATTACTGCATCAGGTAAACCAATTTCAGGTGACATATACATGCATCTTCTACATTCAGACACTTAACACAACATCATCTCTATATTTCAGACACCTTATACATCAAACAACCATTCAAAACACTATTACTCATGCACCAAGTAAACACAACTTCAAACAACCATACAGGTGACATTTAAACATCACTATACCAAGTAACTTATACACTTCAACAACCATATTCAGGACACTTATACATCATCTCTATATTCAGACAAGTAAACACAACTTCAAACAACCATACAGGTGACATTCAAACATTACTGCACCAAGTAACATCATCACTTCAAACAACCATACAGGTGACATTCAAACATTATACTGCATCAAGTAAACACACACTTTACAACAACCATACAGGTGACATTCAAACATTATGCACCATAGTAAACACAACTTCAGACACCATACATCTGACATTCAAACACTTACTGCACCAAGTATAACACAAACTTCAAAAGAACCATACAGGTGACATTCAAACATTACTGCACCAAGTAAACACAACTTCAAACAACCATACAGGTGACATTCAAACATTACTGCACCAAGTAAACACAACTTCAAACACACCATACAGGTGATATTCAAACACTTATACATCAAGTAATACAACTTCAAACAACCATACAGGTCAGACATTCAAACATTACATCTCTAAGTCAGACACTTATACATCAACAACTATACAGGTGACACTTCACAACTCTATAAACAGACACATTATACATCATCTCTATAGACACTTATACATCATCTCTATATTCAGACACTTATACATCATCTCTATATTCAGACACTTATACATCAACTTATATTCAACCATATAGGTGACATTCAAACATTCAGACACCAAGTACAACACAACTTCAGACACTTATACCATCATCTCTGACATTCAGGACACTTATACCAAGTAATCACAACTTCAACAACCATACAGGTGACATTCAAACATTACTCATCAAGTATTCACACACTTCAAACATCATACTCTGACATTCAAACACTTACTGCATCAATCTCTATATTCAGACACTTATACATCATCTCTATATTCAGACACTTATACATCATCTCTATATTCAGACACTTATACATCATCTCTATATTCAGACACTTATACATCATCTCTATATTCAGACACTTATACATCATGCAGGTGACATTCAAGACTGCTCAAGTAAACACAACTCTCAAAGAACCATACAGGTATACATCATTCAAACATTTCTGCACCAAGTAAACACAACTTCAAACAACCATACAGGTGACATTCAAACATCACTGCACCATATTCAGACAACTTCATAATCAACTCTATACAGGTGACATTTAAACATCATCTCCAAGTTCACACAACTTCACATCCCATACAGGTGACATTCAAACATTATACTGCACCAAGTAAACACAACTTCAAGCAACCATACAGGTACATTCAAACATTACTGCACCAAGTAAACACACTTCAAACAACATACAGGTATATTCAAACATTACTGCACTAAGTACAACTTCAAGCAACCATACAGGTGACATTCAAACATTACTGCACCAAGTAAACACAACTTCAAACAACCATAAAGGTGACATTCAAACATTACTGCACCAAGTAAACACAACTTCAAGCCACCATACAGGTGACATTCAAACATTACTAATTTATGTAAACACAACTTCAAGCCACCATACAGGTGACATTCAAACATTACTGCACCAAGTAAACACAACTTCAAGCCACCATACAGGTGACATTCAAACATTACTAAATCAAGTAAACACAACTTACATCATCATACAGGTGACATTCAAACATACTCCACCAAGTAAACACAACTTCAAACAACCATACAGGTGACATTCAAACATACTCACCAAGTAAACACAACTCAACACACAACCATACAGGAAACACAACTTCAAACAACCATACAGGTGACATTCAAACATACTGCACCAAGTAAATACAACTTCAAACAACCATACAGGTGACATTCAGAACATTACTGCACCAAGTAACACAACTTCAAGCCACCATACAGGTGACATTCAAACACTTTACTGCACCAAGTAAACACAAACTCAAAAACACCATACAGGTGACATCCAAACATTACTGCACCAAGTAAATACAACTTCAAACAACCATACAGGTGACATTCAAACATTACTATATTCAGTAAACACAACTTCAAACAACCATACAGGTGACATTCAAACATTACTGCACCAAGTAAATACAACTTCAAACAACCATACAGGTGACATTCACAACATTACTGCATTCAGTAAATACAACTTATAAACAACCATACAGGAAACACAACTTCAAACAACCATACAGGTGACATCCAAACATTACTGCACCAAGTAAATACAACTTCAAACAACCATACAGGCGACATTCAAACATTACTGCACCAAGTAAACACAACTTCAAACAACCATACAGGTGACATTCAAACATTACTGCACCAAGTAAACACAACTTCAA